TCCTTTCTTAGGGGCTGCAGGGACATGCCAGACACTTCCAGGAGCAGTAATTACTATAGGGATAATTACTCCAGCCATGATGGCTTAGTCATTTTAGAACTCACTTCCCAAATAATTAAATTGAAGCATAAGAGAGAAATGAAAATTATGAAAAGACCAGTCAAAAACCAAAAATAAAACACTTTGCAAGCAGTAGAAGTAGTAATGACCTCCACGTATGTGTTGGGTTGGGAGATGAGAGTGAAGGACAGTGTGTTTGTGAGAATGACAGACACACAGTGTGTGTGTGTGAGACAGAGGTTTGCATTGCCAAGCTTCATCCAGCAATCAGGAAGCTCCCAGAGGGACAGCTCCAAGGCAGTGGGCGGGGGCTTCCCAGCCAAACCAGTCAGGATCACCTGTCAGAGGCGTCAAGATCTACCTGTAGATCCCATTGGTGACCGCTGATGTACATGTACTTGTTGACTGATATTTTTCGGCTGTGTTTTGACTAATGCACTTTGTTGAAAGATGATTTGGTTTATCTTTATCATAGAAGTTGCCCCATGCTTTTTTAGTGTATAAATTCGAGTTCCTGTAAATTATCAATCATGATCTGACAGAAAACATTTTTATCTGAAATTCTTCATGTCACTAGGATGATTAAACTTTTATCATGTTAATTGTTTTCCTTGTCTCCAATTATCAATCTGCTCTGTGGTTTGGGTGATTATCAAGCTCACTTTTGCTTCTAGTGCCCCACTTCAGTTCTCCCTATCTGTTGCTATACTACCATGTTCTGATTTTCCTTTAAGATTTGGAGTCAAGGAGCCTGTCCATCTTGTAGTTTCAAGAATCCTGAAGCTCTGATACAAACGGATATGAGCTTTAAAATGTATTGCCTTCATTTATCGCAAGTATACACAAAAGTTACAAGATACTAGAGCCATACTATTTTGAGTACTTCTAGAGTACTTCTCCTTTCAGGGTGAGTTCTCCTTTTAGAGGTCTTGTTAAACACAATGTTCAGGGGCAGTTCCTGCAAAATGTTGCAATTCTGCGTCGGGTAGAGACTTTACAAGGCACACTGCTGGGAAGAATCTTGGTTGTGGCAAGAAAGAGCCGAAAACTTTCACTTTGTGTAATGGTACTGGTTTGTGGTGTGGTATATGTATTTTATCACTTGTAAAGTACTTAATGCAGGCAATTACTGTATAAATGTCAATATAACTAGTATCACTTTTACAGTAATTGCCTGACATTAATGCAGGCAATTACTGTATAAATGTCAATATAACTACTTAAAGATGCCAGAGCTCATGCCCAGCCAGAAACGGTGGGGCTGCAGACACGAGATCAGCAAGAGGAGGAGCACCCCTGTTTCAGAGGTGCCCCAGGCGTTCTCACAGTTTGCCTCTATCAAAGGCCAACTCTGCAAGGGGAGTGATCATCTGGTGTGTGGAGCAGGGGTGGTCACCTGGAGAGATGTGCTGAGAGCAAATGGGAAGAGGATTTTCAAAATTCTAATCCATGTAAAGCAGTGGTTCCCAAACTTTTTTGGCATCACACCCCCTTTTTGATTTTTGAGAAACCCTCACCCCCCCCCAAAAGCAGCAAAACTTGGGGTGGGGTTGATGGGGTGTGTGTGTGTAGCTGGGTCGCCTCATGCCCCCTTGGAATTTCTTCACGCCCTCCCAGTTTGGGAACCCATGATGTAAAGGGTGGGTCAGAGGGTTGGTCACTTGAAAGGGCAGCAGAGATCAAGCTGATGGGCAGAGGGACAAGAACAGACATTGCGAGACAAGTACCAGAGGCCAGCCACAACACATTACTACACCACAGTATCCATGCTGGCACCTCAGCACTGTAGCCACTGTGCAGCAAGTTCTATGCTTTTCACTGAGGTGATTTACTTAGTGTGCACTAGATGCCTTGCCAGTGTGGCCTCCTTGGGAGTTACAGTGCTGGGAACTGATTGACTGCTCTGTAACTTGCTGTGTAGACTTGGCCTAAGTGTATACTCTAAGGCGGGGGACCTTTATAAACTAAAGACCCAAACTACATGTGGCAGTCTAAGAGCAGGGGGCTGTTGAGGCCTGATGGAAGGCAGATACATGGGGTGCTGGGTATGTGGTTTTATGCTCTCTGAGTAGGCTGCCAAAGACTGGGGCCCAGCCAGCCACACCTGAAGCCCATCTGGCATCAGCCTGAAGGGAAGGCTAATTGGAACACCTGCAGCCAGTTAAGGTGGATGAGCATACTATAAAACCCCTCCCTCAGGCAAGGCTATGGGGGAAGAAGAAAAGGGATGGACTAGAGGAGAGGTGAAGGAGAAGAGAGGGGCCCAGAGCAAGGGTACAGACCCAAGATAGCCATCAAGGACCTATCTGCCTTCCATCAGGGAGGAGGTACCGCAGGAAGGATTGGGGAAGTTGCCCAGAGAGGGGCTGCTGCTCAGGGGGGCAAGGGCCAAGCTACCCGACCCACTCAGGGCTGCCTCCACCCATAGGGCCCTGGACCGGAACCTGGAGCAAGTGGGAGGGACTGGGTTCCCAACCATCCCCCTGGCTGGAAGGGCCGGTAGGGAATGGAAAAAGGACACTGGGCTGGCCAGTGATGAAAAGGGCTCTGGTAAGTGGGTACCCTCACCTTCGTGGCAGTATTAGGGACACGGAGTCGCTGAGGTGCACAGAAAGACCTGCCAGGAAGCATGGGACCTATGTGGCATAGCCCAGACTTGCCACAACTGGTATCAGGAGTGGGGTAATTTCACAGGGCAATGGGGATGACCAAAAGAGACACATTTGGTGTCCTACTGAGCCATATTTGTCTTGCAAACGATAGGTTGCCTACCCCTGTTCTAGGGAATTCTTTTAAAATCCCAGCCAGGACTAGGTTCATCTGTGCAGCATGTTTAAGTGAACTGTCATGGTAATAAAAATGCCTTGTTAAAGACCCTAATGGTAAATATGCAATCAGACAGTTCCCATTGATATATCAAAGCCATAGAGCAGAGGAGGAACAGTAAGCTTATAACTATTATGTGTTTTCATTATCACTGCTTTATAAACATAAGTTGAAGTCTTCAAAGACTTCCTTTGTGGTAGGCACTTGAACTGCTTAACAGATGGTGAAGTTAAGTCACAGGAACCATAGAGAGGAGAGAGTCTGTTTGATCAGAGCCAGTAGAGCAATGAGTTCCTGGGTCTTTAATACTTAGGGACTGTTTTTCTCCAATTTTAATCATATGGTCAAAAAAAGTTGATTCTGCTTTAGAGTTTATTTAAAGAAATGAGGTATATTGCAAGTTGATAAATATAATGCAACCAAGAGTCAGGAAAAAACTCATCACATGTTTAAATCTGTAGAGATTGAGGACTTCAGTGCAATTATTCAAGATGAACTATATTAGTCTTGGAGTCCTGTGGCACCTTATAGACTAACCGAAGTGTTGGAGCATAAGCTTTCATGGGCAAAGACCCATTTCATCAGATGCACAACAAATGCTCCAACACTTCAGTTAGCTTATAAGGTGCCACAGGACTCCTCGCCGCTTTTGCAGATTTGGACTAACACGGCTACCCCTCTGATATTAGTCTTGCTAATATGTAGCAAAGCACAGGTTATAATATTAATGCCTTCAATACTCTGGAGCTAAATGTACCAAAAGGAGAACAATATGAGAGACATTTAAAGGTCTACAGATGCCATGTCAGGTTGCTGTTTATAATGAAACTAGATGATAAAAATCCATGTTGCTCATTTCTGTGTACACATGCAGGACTAGAAAATCACCTGCTTGCTACTTGTGGATGGGCAGCTCTGGATTTAGGATGCCGAAGCTTCAATTTTTGAAATTTAAGCTTTCATTTATTTTGTCATGATTCTGTCCATTAGGCATGTGATGTTCTTCAGTATTGTCTTTCGGATTCTGAAGATAGACTACTGTAGTGCCTCTGCTGCTACACTTTCCCAAGTAGTTTGCAAGAATGATTAGTTCCCCTTGAGCTGAGCAAAAACCTGTGGACAGTGGTGAAACTGAAGAGGAAAAAATAAATTTATTCTGCTGCTGCTTGGTAAAGTACAAATAGCAGAAGAGTTGGGAGGTGGAGTTATTCACAGTGAAAGATCCTCCAAAAAAGGAACTGTAGTGCCTCTGCTGCTACACTTTCCCAAGTAGTTTGCAAGAATGATTAGTTCCCCTTGAGCTGAGCAAAAACCTGTGGACAGTGGTGAAACTGAAGAGGAAAAAATAAATTTATTCTGCTGCTGCTTGGTAAAGTACAAATAGCAGAAGAGTTGGGAGGTGGAGTTATTCACAGTGAAAGATCCTCCAAAAAAGGAAAAGAGGGAAAGACTAGGAGTAGGGAAGATGTTTCTTTCTCCTGATCAGTTGAAGGTTGGAGAAATGGGTGTTCAGATGTGCAAGAGCAACTCCTGAGGAAGGTTCTTGGGTACTACCTTGGACCAGTTAACACATTGCAGGCCACATATGTGGCCCACAGTGGTAAACTGGTGAAGTTGGCCACATCCAATACTACCTTTGTGGCCCTGAGGATGTCACCTGGGCTCAGCTGCTGGCTGACTGGGATGCCAGCAGCCCATGGGCCACCGGTTGAGAGTCACTGTCTTACATGAATTGAAAAAAGCCCAGAAGCTTGGCTTCTTACCAGGACATTGCTCCTAACTCTCATTGTTGGATCTCCTCCACAGATCATTCCTACTTCCTAAACTTATCACGTGGGGAATGGCTGCAGGTTAGGGCTTTTGGGGTCCTTTTGAGTGAATATAAGGGAAGGTTTTTTAATGCTGACTCGGTCAATTACTTTTACCCTGATCACCTTGAAAGTGTTTGGGGTTTTTTTGTTTTTTTTTTTAATTGCAGATCATTTTGAAAGCTTATTACTATTTGATTGTAGATCATTTTGAAAGCTTATTACTATTTGAAAATGTTATGTTGTTTGGGAAATGGCTTCAAAGGAATGCACTGTACTAATGAAATATTTTTCTTCTTTTTTTAGCAACAAGGTATTGGTCGGCCAAGTGTGTACCATGCAGTGGTGGTCATATTCTTGGAATTCTTTGCCTGGGGACTATTGACAACTCCCATGCTAAAAGTAAGTGTTGCCAGTCTTTTTCTCTTTCACTACAATAATGTCAGGGCTCAGTTGGTTTCCTTTGGAGATCCTGTTCATACTCTCTGGGACTCCTGGTTTTAAATGAGTTTTATTTTATTCCCTAGTGTCTTAATAAAGCAGTTTGAGTTCTCAGACTTTTTTTGTTTGTTTATATCAAGCCAACATTACATGTACACTTGGTGTTCTACTAAATAGGATCATACCTGAACTGTCAGAGGGGCTGCAAATCTGATCTGAAATACACTGGTAGATCTTAAGTGTTGTCAAAGGCTCATTTTTATTGGAATGAAAAGTACTTAAAATTAATTGCAGAGATTTCAATTTCTAATATAAAGACTAAGTACAGGCAGTCCCCGACTTACGTCGGATCCGCACTTACGAACGGGGCTTTTCTCGCCCCGGAGCTCACGGGCGGTGGGTCGCCACCTGTGTCCTCTGGGGCGAGAAAAGCTTCTCCCGGTCTCCCTGGTCTGCTGGGGGGGTCCAGCAAAGCCGCTGGACCCCCCCCCAGCAGACCAGAGACACCAGAGCAAAGCCGTGGGGCACGCCCGCCGCGGGGCTGGCTCCAGGCTTTGGCC